CTAGGTTTCTTCTCATCTGTGGATCTTAATGAGTATAATCTATCCTTTTCTCCAAATCATTAATTTAAAAAAAAAAATCATAGGAGCAAGCCAAGACAACTGACACTCCGCCATAGATTACCATGTTGAAATCAAACCATTAATGACTATTGAGTCTGGACATCCAACTAATTCTGAATTGTATTTTCATCTCACATTAGTTCTTAGATCGAAGACTGATCTGGCAGTAGAGTAATCAAAGTTAGGAGCCTCATAACTTTTAGGGGGCAAGTCACAATCCCTAAACTGTTTTCTTCATTTGTAACACAGTTTACACAAGATTGGGGTTCTTAAGCTTTTTTCTGTGTCAAGGATCCTTTCTCAGTGTGTTCAAATATATAAGATTACATAGTTACAAAGAAGTAATAACTTGGAAATAATTGATGTAAAAAGGAATTTTGAAATACAAAAACCACCCTTTTAAAAAAAATTGGACTGAAAAAATGAAGTACAGATATTTCAAGAAGGCCCTTAATTTTGGTCTGAACAAAATTTTGAATTCTTCACATGCAGGCTGTTCCTGCCATGCTTTGAAAAATGAACCTGAAGGAGCAGCTAGGTGGCACAGTGGATAGAGCACCGACCTTGGAGTCAGGAGGACCTGAGTTCAAATGCGGCCTCAGACACATGACACTTAAAACTAGCTGTGTGACCCTGGGCAAGTCACTTAACCCCATTGCCTAGCCAAAAAAAAAGAAAAGAAAATGAGCCTGAATTTAACCCACAGAAATAAAATGCAAAAGTTAGAATTTGAGGAATGCAACTAGTGTGGTAGAGATACTTTGGGGGCCATGGGTTTCTGTTGTTTCTGAAGTCATCACAGATAGACCTGTGTCTTTCAGGTCAAACAAATGTCGACATGCTAGATGGCTTCTCTATAGGGACAACTGAAAAGTTAGGTTATGTACAAGATGACCCACCAGTAACTACCTTCAGTAGCTGAGATCACCTTCAAAGCATCTCAGATATCTTTGGTATGCCATTTTTTCTGGGTTCTGTTACTCACCTTGAACAATTTTTGACCAGGAAGATACAGAATAAAAGTGGTGGCTGGCCATGAGGGAATAAGGTTGTATGTCTGATAGATTAACATCCTATGTAGCATTAATTAGAATTTGTAGTTTTAATCCAGACAAATAAATGTAAAAGCCAGTCCTACTTATTGCCCAACAATTATAATAGTAAACCAGACATCTACTTAAACAAAATGAGCTAACAATCAAAATGTGAACCTAAACCCTAATTCATTTTGGACCTAAGCTAATGTAATGAAAGGAAAAATTGGATAGACTTACTTTGAGTAAAGCTGGGGGCAATAGAAAGGTGATACAGAACTTGGCCCTCTTTTCTTCCTTTCCCCACTAGTTTATAGATTAAGACAAACTTAAAAGATTTAGAGGCCTTAGGGAAAGTGAATTTTGCCTTAGTTTTGAATTGCTTCAGTAGGTTTAAATGAAAACCTAGCTTGGTAGACAAGGAAGAATGACCTTTGGATGGTGTCAAAGGTTTATTTGACAAAAGCCTAAAGGAACAGTATTTGAAATTAGGCCGAGGCCTGGTATAGAAAGGCAACAGAAACTTGCTTTATAGGAGCCAAGAAGGACAAAAGTCCTGAAATTAGAAAGCAAGCAGAAGATAACCTGTAGCTCAACAGAGATTTCTTAAAAAAAAAAAAAAAAGAAAGAAAGAAATGTAAAGAAGAAAATCAAGTCTTCATTTGCTTCAGGCAAATGAATATTCCAGGGGCCATGTGTGTTCCTAGAATCCAGAATTCAGCAAGTTAACTTGCTGTTCTAAAGAAAATATTCCTTTTTATTCTGAGTTATCTTCAAACAATCTTCATCTGAATACAGCTTTCTGAATATGTCTTCCTAGAGGAAAGGGGAATGTACTGCCCACATGAGGTGAGATTAAACTACCATTATCTTGGCCTAATTCCCTCCTAAAAAAAAATTAGCTACAAAAAGTTTCACTAAGATTCCAAAACCTATGGTGCCCTTTCCAAACTACTAAGTTGATGGGTAGAATTACTTCTAAGAGAAATGAAAATGTTTCACAGGCTGCCTCACCTGCAGAATCCAAAGGTGTAATCCTGCCCAAGGCAACTGACAAATTCTGCCTCTCCATCTTAGCTAGTTTCAGAAGGTTTTCCCGTACTGGGAGTGGGCAAGAAGAGGCCAAAAAAAAAAAAAAAATCGAAGGGGTGAACTCTGTTGGAAAGCACTGCCATAAGACACTGTCTATGCTTTCCATGGCTAATATCAGGGGTAAGGGAAATACCATGCAATATTTAAAACATAACTCTTAGAACTAGTGCCTCTTCCTCATCCAAACCCACAATTTATTGACAGGTACATTTACTGTTGGAGTCAGTGAACAAATTATACACCAAAATAGCAAACACAATGTTACATCCTTCAACTACCACCCCTACCCCACCCCCACCCTGCAGCAACACCATTGTTCTTAGTTTCTTAATAGTTGTTAGTTTCATAATAAATATTTCTTGACTCCAGCTATTTCCAGGTCATGCCCATAAGCTTTAATATCTATAAAGAAGGGAAGGGTAGTGGAAAAGAAAGCAAAACTGTTTCCTTGAAATACCAATTAAATAGCTTGAACATGTCAAGGTATGGTGATTTCCCAGGCAGTCATGTCTGTTTCTTGGGCTCACCCTTGGCTCGAAGGTGAGGGTTGGTTTCTCTAGGAAATGAGAGTGACACACCAACATTCCACGAAGTAACTTTACAGCAAATACCCAGGTGCACAGACTCAAAGGAAACAATGGAGATACTGAAAACTTCAAAAATTTTTAACCCACGGGAAAAAAGCGGATCATTCCATGGGGAAGTAACAATACAGGTATTATATTTTATTTCACATTTTATTAGTAGACAGATGTGCAGAAAAGACAAAAATAAACTACTAATGGGGAGGACAACACAAAATGCATCAGTTAATCCTTTCTGGTAAATTATAATACTGAAGAAAAAAGGAAAACATCTAGAATTTTAGCTATGAAAATTACTAAGAAGTCTAGTGCATCCTGCTGGTTTCAGAACAGTTGAAAGTTGCATCTGAATCTTGTTTTAATAATAAATGTAAACCTTGTTCATCAGGATGGGAAGGAGGGTGGGGTAAGAAAAGCAAGAATGTTATAGTTAAGGTAAACTTTTTCCCCTCAATTACTTAGATACTTTCATAGTCTTACTTTGCTTGTGTGTCTCCAAAACAACAGAAACCAGCAAGTAAACAAGTAAATGACACTTGGGTGTAACAGAGAGGAAACGATTAGTCAAATGGGGGGAAAAACTGGAAATGTTTTAAAAATAAAGCAGAGGGGCGGGGGAACCAACAAAAGAATCATGATAATGCATCTTCTACCACCAAGGAATATACTCATCACTGGAGATCATATAGTAAGGTCTCTCATAGTACAAAGGGAAGCAGATCCTGAAAGATGCAGCATCCTCATTTCAAACCAAGTCATTGGCACAGTTACTACAATGATCTGGCCTGAACCTCTGGCCCTTGAATCACCTCCCCTTAACCTCCACAAAAGGGAAATAGGAAACATGAACCACACTTGGCCACTTCCCCACAGACAGCACAGGCTGCCACCAACGCCGGTTACATTAGTTAGACGTATTCTCAGAGTCCCTGGGATGTACACACTAGGTTCACAGAGTCAAGACCGTCTTATGAATGTCTACAGTTTTTTAAAAGCTATTACACCCCAGATATGTTTCTTGAACGCAATCTTATTAGATTACTATCTAATAGTAATAGCCACACACTCAATAAGTAACATACCAAAAGGCTAAGCCAGAAGCTCCACCTACATTCTCTACCTTCCATCTTTGGCTCCCTGAGTCAACATGCAACAGAGGCTGATAGATCTTAGAGAGATGGACACAGCCTCAGCCAGGGCTCAGCAGCAACTCTGAAATAAAAAGGAGCCAAGACTGGCTTGTAGGAGATTTCTCAGCAGCAAGGGATATGAAACCCTTAAGGATCTATTAGAAATAACAAAACTGGGCAACTTTTGACTCTTGGCTGCTGGGCACTGGAGGATGTTACAGGGACAGATTAAGATAAATTAAGGGCCCCTGAAGTCATCCTTAAATCAATAACAAGGGAGTTAAAAGCCCAGATGTTAGAAGAATGGTTAATGAGAGGTGGCTAGCAGCAAGTGCTGGCACAGGGCCCAGCAAATTCTCCTCAATTTATGTTTAAAAAGAACTTGTCCCCAACCCACTCCCCCAGGAGACAGAACCAGCACCTTCCTGGTTTTAGGACCAAAGATGATTAGCCCAGGGCTAGGCAAAAAAGCAAGAAATTTAAGAGCTAATGAAAACCCTGAGATCAGAAAGGAAGGGAAGTTAAGTAAGAGTGCATTATTAACTCTTAATCCCTAGCCACTACAGGATCCCTGGGATGCAGCTAGGATTTTCTTACTGAAAAACATTCCAAAAAGGTAGTGCCAAGTAAAAGAACTAATGAAGCAAATGCATCCAAGACAGGACTCTGGTCAGTGCTCCCTTTATTCTCTTCCTGTGAAATCTTTAATATTCTAGGGGTCTCTCGTCACTGCTCTCCCTTTCCATGGAAGGAAAATATGAACCTTTACCCTGACAGAAACGCTCAAATTCTGAAATCCCTAGTTGTCAAAGGCTGCCAGGACCCCACCTGTTGATTTAAACAAGACACAAGTTAGGCCTGGAAAAATTAAAAACAGTGACTTCCAGAAAAAAAGTTTATCAAGGGAATTCCCCCACCTTCCCACAAATTTCCCTAAGAGAGAGAAGGGAACTCTACTGTAGGTGGTGTTTCAAGTCAGACACAGACTCCACGGCTCATCTACTGCCTGCAGCTAAGTAAGGTCTTCCCTCCCAGGGCTACCCTCTCCCTTAGGGCATGCTATTCAATTCTGCCTCTGGAACTATCCAGCCAGGCCACCATCACTGCAGGACTTTTACTAGGACAAAGCAGATTTAACAAGAAGAAAATTTATCAGTTCAGGTTACATTCAATGAAGAAAGCAGTAACAGGTCACTACTCACTCACATCCACATTTATCACTATAGGGTGTAGTAGCTTAATGAAAATACCAAAACCAGAACACTGGACATGCTCCTGGGACTAATACTGGCTGAATAACACCGGCTACTTTAAAAGACCCCAACACAGACCCACTAGGTAGCATAAGATTGTTCCCTGTGGGGAAGGACTTGTTTTAAATCCACTGAAAACTATTTCCCCTCCTGGTGGTGGCCATCACCAGGAGATCTTCTCCCCCCAGCAGCATCTTCACAAATGGCATAGTGACTTTTTTAACCCTTCCTTCTCACCACCAAAAAAAAAAAAAAATCCCACAAAAAAACCCCTGCCTTAAAAAATAAATAGCAACCAAGTGCTCAGTTCTATGTAAAGTATGAATATTTATTCAGGCATTAGATCCCAATCAATTTTTTAAAAATCTGATTTTTCTCTCTACCCCAGTATAGCTGAGGTCTCAATATTAAGATTGTTTCAGAGAGGCTGAAAAGTAGTACTGTGCCTTTCAGTAACACATTTCCTCAAGCTCAGCACACAGTTGCTTATACCATCTGCCTCACACCTTAAAAAAGGAGAAAACAAAATTCACCACCACAAGGTTAAATGCAATGTGCACACACTAATGTCATAAACGGAGCAGCTAGAACCGTGGCAAATTTGCTTCTTTTTTTTTTTTTAAAGGTTTTGTGGGGTTGTTTTTTGTTTTATTTTCCGGTTTTTCATCTGCTACCCAGTATATGCAGCACTTGTGAACTCCCAAAGACCCAACTTCTGGTGGGTTCCCAGCTTTAAATACATTAAACGTCTTGATGAGAGACTGTATTTAATTCTTCAAGAATCTAAACACAGACCAAACGTGTTTCTCTGTGAACACTTTGTAGAGATGAAGTGAAAAGGGAGTTTCGGGTTTTGTTTTAAAAAAGGAATTGTAATACAGTGATGGAAGGATAAAGAATGCAAGAATTCAGACATTCTGTAGAGGGTTACTTCCTCTCCAGTGAGAGGTCCATAAAAAGGAGCAAACTGAGATCCACACAACAGGAGACAGCAGTACACACATTTGTTTTCCCCACCCCCTGTGTATGGTTTTTGCCACTGGACTGCTGAGTTTACCGCTGCTCCCTTTGGCCTGAGATGGCTGGGCAGTACAGGGGGCACAGAGGGAGCAGGTCACGACTCCTCATTCCCAGAATCATCATCATCATAACAGTCGGCATCTTCTTCCTCCTCATCTTCATCATCAATGTCATCGTCGTACAAGTCGTCATAAAGTAAATCCGAACTGTTGTCATTGGAAGGCACTTTAGTTTTGATGCAATATTCAGCCAGTGTAGTGGGGACCTTCACTCCATCCTTTTCTGCTTCAGCTTTAGTAGCCAAAACTTGTTTCCTGAAAGGAAGAGAACAGAAAAGTAGTACATATTGGGTCTGTCTCTGCCTTAAGCTGGTGTTTGTATTGGGCCTTGTCCACTTCCATTCCCCCCAAGGATAAGATGGGCCTCCAAGCTCCTACCACAAGGTACTTCCCAAGGCACCAGTTCAGAAAGCTCCAATCAGCAGATCAAGCAAGCACACAAGGCTGCTTTGCCATCACCAAACCTACTTATTTCCCCAACGTGTGCATTATGATCCCAGCACCTGGCACAGAGCAGGCACATAAAAAATTTCTCTTGAACTTAATTAAGTGGGCTTAGTTTAGTAGGAGTGAAGATTAGATTTAAGACATTCTTTTATAAAGGAATATTCAAGAGCTCCTTTTACTTCATTCAGCAAAACCCTAAAGAGGGTTTATTTATTATACCCTCAGTGGTCTTTAAAACCAAATCATCATTTTCAGAGATGAAAATCAAAGGAATTATTACAATATGAGTCACTATGGGACAGGGGAAACTTATGACAGAGAACTAACTGGCTTAGAGACAAGAAACAGAATATGGGCAAATAGGTACTCCTCTGGGTAAAGAAATATAAAGTTAGGCTCTCCAGGGAACAATGAGGACAGAATAAATGCACTGAAGAGAAGAATAAACTTTTCTAAGAGTAAAACATCAAGGTAGGTGACGGGGATAAACTACTGAGAGATCTTTTGATGTGAGGGAACAGAAAAGCAGCAAATGAGTTTCAACATAGCTAAGTATAAATTACATATTTAAGGAAAGAAATAATGTGAGTATTCTTACAGGATGATGAACTCCAAGCTATCATATGCCCTCAGACAGGGACCCAAGTCTTTCAGGGGTTCCTCATTCCTCACCTACAGAATAAGATCCAAATACCTTTACCTACCATTCCAGATCCTTCAAAATCTGGCACATCATCCACCTTATCGGTACTCCATTAAATAAATGAAATTGCTTTTCCTGCCAATGTGACCTACCCATTATTTATTGGACACCATGTACACCACCACCTCCACCTCTTTGATCATGTAGTCTCTCCTACTCCCATGAGAAATACTCTTCCTGATCACTTAAGTCTTGCCTTTTTTTCCGTCCTGGCCCAGCTCCAGTGCTACCTCTTTCTGAAGCATTCCTTGACTGCCCTTTCCCTTGGAAATTACTCTCTTCTCTGAGTTTCTGTAGCATTTGTAGTGTAGAGCAGGAATCTTAAATAAGGTAGGAGCTTATGTGCAGCCTATCTTACCTCATCCCCAAAATAAGTTATATTACACAGTTCTTTATCCCTTTTGTTCCATTATTTTTTTTCTATATATAGACATGCTATCCATTAACCAAATTGTGAGAACCCAAAAGGCATAAAATTTATCCAGACCACCTTACACAGTGCCCTGAAGAAGTAGGTACTGCTGGTAATGACCTCCTCCAAGCAATAAGATGGTCCGATGTGCTGATGTCACGCAAAAAACCAACAAAATAAACACTGCATCATCTAGAAGTATACCAAAAACTAAGCAGCTAACATCAGCCTACCCTTGTAGAAAATGATGGTGCAAAGCTATTTAGAAAACTAACACTTCTTGTTACTGCCCCTCAAGTACAAGATAACTGACACAGCATTAAGTGCAAAGGAGGAAAACTAAAATAGAGGCTACTAGTGCAAGCAGCAAGTTAGGGTTCTTACGTCTGCAAAGCTGAAGACTTGGAGAAAATGTGATTGAAGTTTATAAAACTGCTCAATGTACAAATCGAGTGAATACTCTTCAAATTCTAGAATATAAAGACAACAGAAAATGCCCTGAAGCAATGAAAAACTTCAATCACCATAATTTTAAAATGGGAAGGGAGAGATTATTTAGTCCAAATCACTCAGCTCAGCTCTTATTTTACAGGGAAAGTCATTAAGTGATTTGAACAAGGTCACATTGATTAATTAGTGGCACAGCTGGGAGTAAAATCCCAGTATCCTGATTCCCAGGCCTGAGTTCTTTCACTATGCCATGAAAGAAATATACACTGAAAAGAACATTTATTCAACTCATTACCCCAAAGAATTTGTTCAGACTGAGAATAAAAATAAACATATTTTAAAGGCTTAGATATGATCATAACCTTCCACATGTGCTTCTATGCCTCATTCATAAAGTATTAGGATGGATGGACAATGGCTCTGAAATTTTTTGCTAATATACTCCTTGGTATTTAAATGACTTTATTATTTAAAAAACAAACAGGTGATCATGAATGAAGCCTCAATTGTCACTTTGGGACACTGTATTTTTTCCTTTTTATAAATAAAGGCATGAAGATGCTGAAAATCTGTTAAAGTAATTCAAGTATACAAACAGACCAATTGCTAAAGGAGATAAAAATAAAGTCAGTTACTTAGCACTGAAATGCTAACGCAATGAAAAAGAAATAAAATTCTCAAAACCTCTCTAATGAGTATCTCAGACTTGTGCATGTAAGACCTCTGGAGTGAGAGTTAAAATGTAATCCATTTAATCTTGTGGTAGCAGCTAGGTGGTACAGTGGATTAAGTACCAGGCCTGGAGTCAGGAGACCCAAGTTCAAATCCAATCTCAGACATTTATAAACCATGTGACCTTGGGAAAATCACTTAACCTCTGTTTGTCTTGGTTTCCTCATCTATATCATCGGAATAATAATAACAGTGTTGCTGTGAGGATCAAATGAGATAATGATTATGAAGCCATTAACACAGTGCCTGGCACTATATAAATGTTAGCTATTATCATCATCATCATCATCATCATTATTGTCTAGAGCCCAGTCTAATGTATATCATCTATATCCCGAAGTTCATGAAACTCAAGAGGAAATGCTTAAGTATCCCTTCCCCTGACTAATTTTAGCCTGGAATGAATGAGCACAATAAGAACACAAACATGTATGATCTTACCTAATGATTTCAGCATATTCTTTATCTTTTCCTTTACTGTCCCTCCATTTCCTGAACATAACTGAAGCATCCACGTTGGCTGGAGAGAAAGTGTTGGGCTCATTAAGCAGTGAGATTACACTCAACAAGATAGTCCTAGAAATATGAAAGAATGAACAGTCGTAATTATTCATAAAATTAATGTTGATATTTGACAAGTATTAAAATCAAGGAAAATATGATGAAATCTTTTTTTCCCCCCACCTACAAAGGATGAGCTGGCATAATTTGATTTGGGGCTCTGATTAAAATATGAAGAATTCCAGACCTTAGAAATTCAGTTAAATACATCCAATGTAAAAGTTAACTTGCCAAAAATAAATTAACCCATAGGAACAGATCCCTTTCCCACCCCACCCCCCAAACTGGCAGAGAGAGAAAAAGTAAATAGTAACAATCAATCTTCAGTGTGAAGATGGAAGTCAAGAGATGTGTTCTAGCTATAGTTTGTGTTATTAATATTTATAAAATCTACTGCTCAACACTGAGGAGACAAGTAAGTCTTTCATTTTGTAAAAACCAGAAAAAAAAACAAAACACAAAAACAATAGGTTTGAAAGAACAGAATCAAATACTTGTGTAAGGAAATGCAAGAAGCTTCTTTCACTGGGTAAAGTGATTGAAATTCTGAAGGTTAGAAGTGGGAAGAAGAGTATGAGAAACAATGAGTGAGGTTGAGAAAAAAGGTCCAGAGAAGTCAGAACACAGTCCTTATTAACATTAGCTGTTGTTACTATACAATTTACTCCAAACATCGCAAATCCATTATCTATTAGCTTCAACTCCTCACTCTAGAAAGCCTTTTCAAGAAGTAGCAAATATTAAACAGACCTGCCTTTGATGTTAATAGAAAAAATATATATTGTTAAAGACTGGTAATAGTAACAGAAAGAAGGAAAAGGCAAGAACAACGAAGCACACATTGGTCTCTCCCTGAACAAAAAGGACTGACTGAACTGAGACCGTCTTTAAAGTCTCAAATTCTGTAAGTGACAAGGAAATAGCAATCTTCAGGAATACGGCTACTTCTAAGGATTAGAATCTAATCTAAGCCCTCTCTGGTTAAATAAGAAATCGAACAGCAGCTCCAAGATGGTCCCCTAATATTTCCTGGGTTGCAAGCTGTCTGCATGTGGATAAAGAAAAAAATCTAAATTGTAACATAGGAGGCCTGATGGTGGAAAACCAGTAACAAATTTGTTTGTCTGGGGTGTTAAACCAGATTGGGAAAAGTAAACAAAAGTAGCTTGACTTGCTTTTACTTGCCTACTATTCAAAAAAGGGCAACAAGCTCGTGAGAGGTGTGGACTAATGCATGCTCACTCATTTGAAAGATAAAAATAAAAAAAAAACATTCAAGATCACTCATGACAGTAAAGACTGGGGAAAGAAATTTTCAGGAAAATTTTTTTTTAGAACTTAGAAAAGCAAAACAAATTCAATCTGAAGAGAAAGTATAGTTTTGATTGTAATATTAGCTCACCTTTAATGAAATTATACACCTGATCAGTGCCATACCAATCAAAGTACCAAAAAATTATTTTACAGAGCTAGAAAAAGAAAAAATAGTAAGATTCATCTGGAAGAACTAAAGATACAGAATATCAAAGGAACTAATAAAAAGAAATGCTAGGGAAGGTAACCAAGCCATACCAGATCTTAAATTGTATTATAAAGCAGCAATCATCAAAACTACTTGGTACTGGCTAAGAAACAGAGTAGCGGATCAGTGAAACAGGTCTGGTATATAAGACACAGTTGTCAATAACCATAGTAACCTATTGTTTGATAAACCCAAAGACCCCAGCTTCTAGGATAAGAACTCACTATTTGACAAAAACTGCTGGGAAAACTGGAAAAGAATATGGCAGAAACTAGGCATAGACCAAAATCTCACACCATATACCAAAATAAAGGCAAAATGGGTACACGATTTACATATAAAGGCCGCCACTATAAGCAAACTGGGAGAGCAAGGAATATTTACCTGTCAGATATATGGAGAACAGAAGAATTAATGACCAAACAAGAAATAGAGAACATAAAAGGCAAAATGGATAATTATTATTATATTAAATTGAAAAGGTTTTGCACAAACAAAGCCAATACAACCAAGATTAGGAGGGAAGCAGAAAACTAGGAAAAAATTTTTACAACCAGTGTCTCTGATAAGGGCCTCATTTCTAAAATATATAGAGAACTGAGTCAAATTTATAAGAATACAAGTCATTCCCCAATTGATAAATGGTCAAAGGATATGAGTAGGGAGTTTTCAGAGGAAGAAACTAAAGCTATCTATAGTCATATAAAAAAATGCTCTAAATCACTATTAATTAGAGAAATGGAAGTCAAAACAACTCTGAGGTACCACATCACACCTATCAGACTAGCTAATATGACAAAACAGGACAATGATAAATTTTGGAGAAGATATGGGAAAATTGGAACATTAATGCATTGTTGGTGAAGTTGTGAACTGATTCAACCACTCTGGAGAGCAATTTGGAACTATGCCCAAAATGTTATACAATTGTGCATACCCTTTGACCCAGCAATAGCACTTCTAGGGCCGTATCCCAAAGAGATCATAAAAATGGGAAAAGGACCCACATGTACAAAAACATTTATGGCAGCTCCTTTTGTGGTGGTCAAGAATTGGAAATTAAGGGGATGCCCATCAACTGGAAAATGGCTGAACAAGTTGTGGTATATGAATGTAATGGAATACTATTGTGCTATAAGAAATGGTAAGCAGGCAGACTTCAGAAAATCCTGGAAAGACTTGTATGGATTGATGCTGAGTGAAGTGAGCAGAACCAGGAGAACATTATACACAGTAATAGCAATGTTGTGTGATGATTAACTTTGATAGACTAGGCTCTTCTCAGCAATGCAAGGATCTAAGACATCTGCAAAAGTCTCATTATGGAAAATGCTATCCACATCTAGAGAAAGAACTATGGAGTTTGAATGCAGATTGAAGCATATTATTTGTTTTTTTTTTTCCCCTTTCATTTTGTTTTGTTTCTTCTTTCTTATGGTTCCTCCTATTGTTTCTAATTCTCCTTTACAGCATGACTAATGTGAAGATATGTTTAAAAGAATGTATATGTAGAGCCTATATCAAATTGCATGCCATCTTGGGGAGACTGGAGGGGAGGGAAGGGGAGAAAATTTAAAACTCAAAAACATACGAAAGGGGCAGCTAGGTGGCACAGTGGACAGAGCTCCAGCCTTGGAGTCAGGAGGATCTGAGTTCAAACCCAGCTTCAGACTCTTGACACTAGCTGTGTGACCCTGGGCAAGTCACTTAACCCCAACTGCCTCACCAAAAAAAGGGGGGGGGACCTTATGGAAGTGAATGTTGAAAACTAAAAAGAAATTAATTTAAAAAAAAAAAAGAAATTATACACCTGGTTGAGGAGGACATATGTTCAACAACAAGAAAGATAATGATGAACATGAAGTGAAGAGACTTTCCATCTGAGCTCCTATATACCAGCTATGTGACCACTAATGACCACTAACAAGTCTAACTCCTCTGAGCTTCTTTCTCCTCATTCAATAGAGGGTGAAAATATTTCTACTACACATCTCAGAGGGTTGTCATGGGAAAGGATTTTGTAAACCTTAATGTAATATATAAAAGTGAGCATTATGCTAATATAAATGAGTAATCATATAATGAACCCCCTTCATTTCAACATCAAGCTATTCCTGAGTGTGAGGAAACTTATTCCCAGTCACTGAAGGAGAAAAATTTGGTCCAATGGCCAATAAGAAAATACAATAAAATTATATTATATAAAATTATATTTATCTTACTAACAGTATCTCAACAAATTGGCTTAACATATATCTACTTAAGAACTACTTTTAGTCTGGCTCACATCAGAATATACACAACTTGGCAGCTAATAAACTATATATGTACTTGACTATCAGCTCAATGAAGGCAAAGACCATATCTTAAGTCTTTGCTATGACTTCCGTACAGTATGTTACATGGTGTAAAACTGCTTCATGAGTATTTGTTGAAACTAACTAAATGAAGCAAAGAGGAAACCCCTTTCAGATCCCTTAAGATTGCAAATTCATTGGTCACTTGTGCTGGCTTTACCTTCCACTTTAACATAAGGAACTTGAAGACTGCTTAGGATACTTTGAATACAAAGGTAACAGATGAAAGGGGTCTGAGGTGAAGAATAAAGGAAAAAGGGAAAAAGGGAAAAAGTCACCTACCAGAAAAATCACAGTAGATTGAGGACCTCCATATCCAACAGAAGAATAATGTCTGGAATCTCCTCAGAAATGATTATGGTCACCTTAAATGGGAAATCCCAAGATAGTACTGTTGCAACCACAACTTAAATTGAGAAAGACTTTATCTTTGGAAAGATAAAGCAGTTCACGGAGTTTCCAGAGAAGACAGAAATAGGAATTGGACTTATTATTTAACTGGGATTTAATTTAATCCCTCAATCCTAGTAAGGAAGCTCCCTCTACCAATTTAGGTCATATCTTCTCTGCAACTTATAGAGTGAGTTCCCAGGACCAAATAAGTAAAAGTTAAGACTTGAACCCTGACCAGCTCTCTATATACTACACTATACTGTACAGCTTCTTGTCCAGAGAAGAAAAGGAAAGAGCACAGAGCTTTAGGAGAACTGATCCCAAAGACCGATCAATAATTGCCAAACCTTATTAATCCTACCTTCCACTGTGTATTTCCTTTTTTCTACTCTTTAAGTCACAACTCTAGTTCAGACCTTCATCAAGCCTTCCCCTAGACTACTGCAACCTCCTAAATAGTTTTCCTGCCTCAGGTTTCCCCCCTTTCCAATCCATCCTTCACACAGCTGCCAAAGTAACATGCTTAAAGTACAGGGTAACCAAGTCATTTGCCTGCTCAAGAAACTCCAATGATTCCCTAACTATCTCTTGTTTTTGTTGTTCAGTCATGTCCAACTCTTCATGACCCCATTTGGGATTTTCTTGGCAAAGATAAAGGCATGGTCTGCCATTTCCTTCTCCAGTTCAATTTACAGATGAGGAAACTGAAGTCAACAGAGTTAAGGGACTTGCAAGCGTCTGAGGATGAATCTGAACTCAGACCGTCCTAATTTCAGGCCTGGTGCTCTATCCACTGTGCTGTCCACGCT